CCAGTCTGGTATGGGCAATTTGCTTAGGCAACTTCTCAGTGTCTTAACTAAACTAAACTTAACTGCTTGAATAAATAAAATAACAACATATCTTGAAAAGAGAAGAAAGACAAGGGCAGGTAGTATTGACTTAAGGACAGTTGTAAATGACAAGAGGAGGGACATATACTTTTGTGGGTGGCTGTGGCCTTGTGTAAACTAGATCAGAGTAAACACATGACATCATCAGATCTATATTGACCTGAAAAATTTAAATTATGTGAATTAAAAGAGATGACTACTACTTTCTGTAGCAGGAAAGATAAATACCAGTAACTGAAATGACTGGAAAAATTACATGGATCACAGGTAATTCTCAAACTTTTTTGAACATATCAGAAAAATATTTCATTCATCCAAAATCTTTCTGTGCCATAAGGCAGATATTCAAGGTACTTTCCTGATTTACATGAAAAGTGCTATTGAGTATAACCTTGACACTGCATGAATCCTTTCTCACATAACATCTTTCTTCCATCTTTCTATCAAGAAAATGATTAGGGAGAAGAATGTTAAAAGCCAAAGATGGTCCTGGACACACAACTCTTATATGAACTACTTAGAGAGTTAAAACATCACCTAATGAATTTAAAAGTAGGTTATCTGCAGGAAGTAGTTTGCACTGGGTGAAACGAAGCAAGGAACATCTGCCAGAATCCACACACAGAACTGTCAAACTACCTGGCATAGTTATCCAGCTCTAACATTACCTCTCTGAGAACATCAGAGGACAGTTCCCTGCTTAGAGGGCTCTGTGTGCCAAGTGCTGCAGCTAACTTTCTATCCTGTGATATTATTTTCACCACTGTGAGTGTCAAAGAGGATTACTCCTGCCAGAGCACAGGAATGAATGATCACATTTGGGTTTAGAGGAATATCTTACTCTACACTCCCATATAATATTAAGAATTGTCTGGCCCTAAATTTCCTGAAATCCTGATCATACCCAATTTAAACTGACATGCAATTTGAGTTAAATTTATCTTCTGCCCTTTCAAGGGAGACAGATTTTTTGTTTCTGTTTATTTAAACTGCTGTTGAAATTGGTTAATTAAAAGGATTTAAAAAATCTTAATACTCTAAACAGAGCAAACTGGTTCTGAATTATTAAGCAACATTTTAGATGCATTTAAATAACCTTAAGTGACTTAACTGCCACCTGATCCTAAGCTGTGGCTCAGAAAAATAAAATGTGAAATACTGTAGAAGTCTTGGCTTACCAAGGCTTCCAGATACAGTAAATAAAGAGCTTAAGTCTCTAATACCATGTCTGCAGAAGGTATACACTCAAATACATAACTAATGCTCCACTTTAAGCAGAAATGAGCAAAAGAAATTATAATTCATAAGAAATTCATACAGTCAGTCTCTGAAAAATGGTTTTTAAAAGGAGAAAGCATGCCAGGACCTCCCTTTCTGAGGGAGGCCTGACCACAAAACACTCACAGTCATATTAGTCCTAGCAGGGTGGCTGAAGCCCAGTTTGGATAAATTTGTTCTGCACCTTCCTCCTACAGTTTCAGCTAGACCTGGTACACTTCAGCTTCTCCCCTAAGTGTTGTGAAATGTCACTCTGTAAGATGTCAAGAGTCTTAGGAAGACTTCTGCAGATCTCTGCCACTGAAGTAAGTGAGGAACTGATCATCTGGGAAGCCTCCAGGGCACTGGGAGAAGGTGGATCTCGCAACTGGCAGATCAAGAGGACTACCAAAATTAGTTTGGGAAGGCTTTTAAGAGCCAGGGACTTAGAAGAAATACTGAACCAGAAGATTGACTGAAGACACTAATATGCTTAGGGTAAGCTCTTTTTGTTATAGTTAAACGCATTTTGAAGATTAGAGTGATTTCTGGAACAAAGAGAACTACCATTCTGAAACCAGACACACATTTAATAGTGCACACATTTGCCTCCATAAAGCCTTTTGCAGGTGTATTCTAGAATAATGCAAAGAACATACAATGCAGCTTTTCACTCGGAGAGATGTGCTTGCCAAATGCTTTCGGAGTTCGAGGTCCAAGGTACCTGCTGACCCAGGCTCACCCTGTGATACACACTGTGGGTACAATGTGCAGAGCTGCCGTGGCTGAGGTGCTGAGAGAGGAGGTGGTTAATATCTAATTTCAGTGCTAGTGGAAAGAACAACACAGTCGGTGACAAAGACCCAATAACAAGTCACTGCATGTGCTTAACTGCTTTGGAATGTCACTGCTGCTTTAAAATCTACAAGTAGTGTCTGGAAAAGGTTAATCTGTGTATTTACTCATGTGTAGAAGTTTGTATTTACAGTAGGGTTATGATACCAACTTTAAGTTAGCTAAGGATATCTGTGTAAGCAACTGGAACATAGGACTAAGAACTAATGAATTTTTATTTACCAAGGAAGTAAAAATACTTCAACAACACTGTATCAGGACTGATGGCTTTGAAAAGCAGGTAAAAATGCTCTAAACAAGTTTATTACAAGAAAATGTTGATTTGGTTGAAGATAATCCACTTGTTTTGACAAGACAGAAACACTTCTGGGGGTGTGTATGCTATTGTAAAACAGATTAGGATAGAAAAATAACCAACCCTGACTTTAGAAGATATGTTTCCATCTTAGTGCAGTGAAACTTCAGCAAAGTAATTATGATACTTTCAAACATTTTTTTCCAAAAATGTTATGTATAATTCAAATACAAACAGACATTTTAAGTACTAGTGTTTTCTGCAGCACAAGCATCCCAAGTGCCTCTGTTCTTGTTGCATAGATTCCAATTGATGTTTGTGATACACATCACAGAACAGAAGGGTCTTGACAATTTACAGTGTATTTTTAAGAGACTACATACCACAAAGCCCAAGGCAATGAATATATACTTTTATTGTACTTCCAAGGAATTCATCAATGATTTATTCTATTTTTATTCTTTAATCTGCCTGTGGAGTTGCACACCTCCAACTTTCCAAACCTGGGGAACATGACAGATGTCATTTATAGTTCTCAGTGGTTAGCAAACCCCTGGGGAATATTTTTTGTCTGTTGTAGCTGTGGTCACAGCACACACAGGGTGGTCACAATGGCAACCAGATTCATACGTGGCTGCCGAGTCAATCGTCATGAATCATTTATGTGACTCCTCATACATGGCATTATTAAGTTGGAATCATAGAAAAATGATGACAGGGTCTTTGCTTCCCACACAACAGTCCAACAGCTCCGTACTTTTCCATCAAATTCTCTTTTCTTTGCCTCAGCAGTTTCCCCTGCTAGTTTCACAAATGTACTGACAATACCAGCCTGTTCCAACTTAGTGGTAATTTTTCTTTTCTATTCCTTTTTTAATTTGCTCTTATGTGATTCATCTGATCAATTTTCGAGTTTGCTACAGAGGACTAAAATTAATAATGATGATGATGTGATTAAGTACAGAAACAGCCAGTGTAAAGTGAAAACCAAAAAGTTAGAGCAATATACCTTTAGGGTTTTTATATTAAATATGTACTACAGCAGAAATAAGCTACAGGTAGGAAGGCAAGAGGTGCAGATATTTAAAACACACAAACCCATTGTTTAGACTGAAAAACATTGTTTTTCTTCAGTCAAGTCAGCTGAACAATCAGTAATCCTGGAAACATAGATGACTTCTCGTCTTTGGTTCCACTGGAAATGATATTACATGCTCAAGAAGTAAAGCTAATTAGTGATTAATGAGATTCCTTAAATGCTGCTTTCCAGTCTGACTGATAAGGATGCTCAATACAGGACAGGGTGGAAGAAGAGCTGCAAGCACTGCAATCCTGTTCGCAGAGCTATGCTGAAAACGGTCAGAAATCACATGCACTCTCAAGCCTGTGTGTTTGCTAAACACCTTAGTTTCTTCCCTTTGGAGTACTTATAAACAAGATGATACAGCAAGAGGTATCTGCTACTAACTACTAGAAACACCCTAATCAGAGCCTTATTCCTAGTGAACTTCCTCCAGGGGCAGTGATGGAAACAAAACGGAAGAGCAACCCAAGTTACTGAACTCCTTTGGTGAAAAATGGCTTAACCAGTCACCTAGAGATGCCTCCAGCAAACAAACCCCTGGCTTGTTCAGAGCTGCCCCCACTCACTTGCAGTGCTGAGGAAGGATGGCCAAAAAGCTGCTGAACTTCAGCCAACACTGCTCAGCACTGCCCTGTCACCTCTGCCATGCCTGTTCCCTTCACCTTTTATGCAGGGCCCCAGGGAACTGCTGCACAGTTGGGCCCCCTGACTTGCACCTTTGCTGTAACAATGGCTGAATTAGAAATGAAAGCTAATTTGTAATAGAGCAGAAAACATAGTGGTGTATTTTCAAAGGAACTTAGTAGCCAGCACAAAAATATCTGTTGATTTATCAACAGAATTTAACTGGCTTTTGTAGCAGTGAGCAGTATTGATTCTGAAAATCAGTCAGAGCAGGTGAATCATTAGAATTTCGAGGTAGGAGACATGAATTATTATCTACTGGTAATATGGAACAGGTAGATGAAAAATTTATTAGAATGTACTGATTAGTTCATAACTGTATACTGTGTGACACCGAGCCTTGGTCACAACATAAAGTTGCACCAAAATGGCAAAACCAGAAAGATCAGAAGTACCAGCCCATAACAGACCTAAAGAGTGGACTGGGATTGCTGCAGCTTCCTTTAAAACAGGAGGTGAGTGATGCTGACTCAGCATATTCAAGCAGTTTTCACTGAATATGGTCCACAACTTTCTTCAGAAATGGAGGATTTCTTACAATGTGACTGGATGCAGAGTTCACAACACAATCTTGTATGTAACATCTGGTGGCACTGGTAGGTCAGCACTTGGCTTGACTACAGCTTGGCTGCTCTCTAACATAATCAGGCCTCTCTTTTCCCTTCTGTGCTATGACACATCAGTCATCTAACATATGGGAGTAAGAAGCAGTGATATCTATTCCTGAAAGGTATATTTACTCACATCTCTCCTCGGAAAGGTGCCCAGCAGCTTGTACTCCTCCCGAGGATATCCCTTGGAAGCTACAAAATCAAAGACAACCTGCAGTTTGCTGCTGGCCAGGAAGCGTCGCTCAAAGAATTCTCCGCTGGGTGTCCGAATACGCAGTTTGCTGACAGACTCAGTGCTCTCCTCCTTTGGTTCAGGAGGCAAAGACTGCTCAAGAGAGAGCCTGATAGCCTGAGGAAGGAAAAATAACCACTTAGGGTACAATGCAAGCAACAGAAAAAATAAGGACAGAAAGCTTTTCTTTTCATTTCTTCTAGAACTTCAAGATGTGTCAGTGCTCCAGAGCCATAGCTGTGCTTTATATCTCAATGACAAAATAATTTTTATTCATTCCTTAATAACAGCCCACCAGACAACTAATTAAAATAAATCCTTCTTTATAACACATATTATTAGGTCTACAGTTAACGCGCGATGGGATACGTAATTTAATCATTTGGCAGAAAGCCTTGGAAAAAATTGAATGAGAGAATAATTGTCAAGTGGCCAATTGCTTCCTTAAAGGGTATAAATTAAAAGGCAGTAAAAGTATTTCTTTAAATGCCCTTGTCAAATTGCTTTCCTCTTGCTCAGAGTAATTGACCATTTGCAGTAGACCAGACCCTTAATGGCAGTGCAGAGTGAAAAAAAATATTTGCAAGAAATTTGCTATAAATAAACTAGAACACAGTTAAACAACATAATTAAAAATACCTCAAAGGTAGGTTAGATACACAGAGTGCATATAAAAGTAGGAATGGTCAAAGAAGAAAAGTAGGAGAACAGAAATGTGAGCTTGAAGATTTAAAGCAAGCTATTATGATTATTATTAAGAAGATAGTTCAAAGTACAGTTGTGCATACTTTATGCAACAACTTGTATGAAATCAGCCCCAAAATTCCAAAGACATTACACGTCTGAAAACATGTATGACTGTCTTCCTGCTAACACTGCATGTACTGCTGATGTCAAGATTTTAAGGGCAGGAGCCAGGTCTGTGTTCTCTGTCCTCTGCCTCCAGGAGCTGCTACAGACTGGTTTTTTAAAAACTTTGGCCAGACTGTTCTTTTAAAAAATCAGTGCCCAATATTAGACTGCTGAATGAGGTGGACTTGAATTTGAGGGTCCTGAGCACTGTCAGTACCCATGGACAGGCATTGGCAGCTGTCAAAAATGTGATCACACTTAGACGCAGCTCTGTTACAGCATCTCAAGGCAGCAGTAAATGAGAAGGTCAATGAAAGGAAGCAGCAGCACAATCACATTGCCTCCCCAAAATGCACCTAACAGACAAATTTCCAAACTAAAGAGGCAGTCAGGCATGGATCTACCCATATTTTCAAGGAACTTCCAAGAAACACAGTTGCTGTTTGTGCCTTTGAAAACCTCCCCAAGGTCACTAACAGAAACTGATGGAGGGTGATTACACTGCAGAGAAAGGACTGGGCAGAAGCAAGATTACAAAGGCTTTTAAATAGTCTACTTCTTACACACGCACCTCTGAGCAAATTATATCTCAGTATAAATATTTATACATAGAACTTGAGCTCATTTTTGCTCATCTACTATGAGATTATATTTTAAATAGATTCTATTTTAATTTTCTCTCTCTCCATTCTCAACCACCTGCTTACTATCTTGCTGTTTTGACATTTCCCCACACAGTATAACAACAGATGCTACATTATTTACTGAACCCAATCAATTATATTATAGAAAAATAAACAACAGTAGCTCATTAGAGCTCTTTTCTTTGTGCAAAGAGTGCGTCGCTCCCCAAAGTAACCAGTCTCTGAGGCTTCAATGTAAAATGCCAATTTACAATGGATATTCTGTACCAGCAAACCAAGTCAGAAAACAACGATGTGATGGATCACATTAAAAACTCTTGAACCTGAACAAGCAATTTCAGTTTGTTGATAAAAAGATGTTCAGTTATGTGAAGAGCTCAATAGTCAGATTTTAAACATACAAACTGAACATAAAGGCACTTCTGTAAGTAAACACTGTTGCAGAACTACTCAGTACAAGTAATCTGTATACTTGAAAACGGGGAGTGTTAGTAAACACTGTTGTTAAAATCCCTTTTGTTATACTAAGCAAACAGATCCTATTATTTTCATTCCTGCACTCTGCATTAAAACAGGGAAGCCCAGGTATATTTTGATAACATGGACCAGTCTTGCAGCCTTTGCATAAGAAAACCATTTCCAAAAGGCCAAGGTATCAGAAAAGGTTCAGGAGCAGATATAATAAAGCAGAAGTAATTATTGTTTCTATGCATGCAAAATTACTTAGGAAAGAAAAACATATTTCTTCCTTGAGCCTGAGTGTGAGCTGATTGCTCAACAGCCTGTTAGTGCTACAGTACTGATTTATGTCCCATGCTATTAACCTCACAGAATCGCCGTCTTACAGTTATTCTTGACACAATTCTCACACTCCAGCTTTGTATGTTGCTCCTTCAGTTGTGTTTTAGCTTCCATCTCAGCTTATGCTAACAACAGGAGCTGAGTAAGTCATCAGATACTGCAGGATAAGAAAGAAGTGGACTGCATCGTTCCCAAACCATCGAATACTGTTTGGACTGAATCTAGTGTTTACTGTTTAAAAGGTTCTTGAATGCTTAAATGGTTCAGGTGTTTTTAATGCAATTATCTTGGTCAAAAATATATATGGAAATGCATTGTTCATACAGTTTGTTCATTGGGTTAATCTCAGGGAATAATAAATGTATTCACAGCCAACTTTTTTGCAGTTGTATAATGCAATTTTTTCATACATCAGCAAAGTACACAAGACTGAAATGTCAAGTACACATTTAAGTCACATTTAGGAAGGCATAAGCAGAGCTGTGATTTATCAGGATTCCAGGAGGCCTAAGGACTTTAACTAAGTGGAAAATTAAGTAAGAATATAACTCCAAATTTCAAATGTCCATAATCCATAAGTCAAAGAAGCTATATTAAGCTCACCAAAACAATTGGAACTCTGCTATTTTATATAAAGCAGTAAACATTTAAAATATTTATAGTTTATATAATACTGGGAACATGCTCAGGAAATATATATTCAATAGGGATGCAGAAATAGCTTTGTATTCTTTAGCAACTTGCTCGGAGAATCTTACATGCCTAGAATTGAAAGGACACCCCCCAATCAACTGCAATTTCAGGCAAGTAATTTATATATTAATACCATTTTTATTTTGAAAAATTTATTCCAGGGTTTCAAAGTCCTTTTGAAGTATCAGGTGTATTGCACAGCAGTTCTGTAAGGACTTAAATGTCAGGAACTTTACAGAACAGCTGATTTTAAGGTCTAGTCCATTTTACATATCCTTTGAAACATGGTGGGATTTCAGGGGAAGACACATGGCAGTACCCCAACATTTTCACCACATTTTGTATGTGCCAGGAGGCGAAAAAGAGGAAATCACTAATGTGAATAAATTTGTGTATGTGATGCTTTATGTAAATACCTACATACACACACAGCTAGGACAGGAGCTAGTCTAGATCCTGAAAGAGGCTGCAGGAGCCATCTCTGGCAGGCACTGGGACCCTCAGAACCTATAAAATTAAGTAAACCTACAAAATAACAGAGTTTGAGGAACAGTGCTCTTCACAGCACAGGGTTTCTGTCTTCTAAGAGAGGCCTAGAAATGTAAAGTGTTCATTTAAACACAATTTTCATTCTAAGAAAGATTCTGTAGAAGTCTGTTTGAAAAATGTACCATGAATTCAGTTTTCTAGATGTTGAATTTTATTTTATTACATTTTTCTTTTGTCTCCCAAATTGAATTTAGCAACTTGTTTGATCAGGATTTCAGGTAGACTTTGTGCTACTTCCTGGAAGAAATGAGAGGGCACCATGGCATTATGTTTTTAAAAGGAGTGGCTGCAGAAACAGGCTAGAGGTTCCTGAGGATTCCACCATTTATGGAGCTCATTTCATGGATCTCCTGTCTAATATCTGGCTGTAATTGAGACTCAGATGACAGAACAGAAAAGCCATTAAGTAGTGGCTGAAAATGATTTAGCTGCACTATGTTTCACAAATATGTGGTTAGAAATTAATAGTAATAAAAATGTTCACATAAAAGTATGCTTTGAATTAAAGTCCTAATGTGTCTTGAATGAGAGTTGCAATGTTCATAAGCCTCATGAACCCCAAAAGCTGTCAGAAAAGGTAAAACATCCCACCTCACGTTCTTCCTCCTGTTCTTTCCGGATCTGTTCCAAGCGAAACTGCTCTGCCATTTCTCTCTCTTGTGCTTCCCTCTAATAAACACACAGAGCAATCACACATAAATAGGTGAGCAATATAAAGGCAAAGAAATTCCACAACATTTCTGTAGAAATTAACATCAGAAATAGGATATTTATGAAGTGATCTTTTCCTGCCATTCCTTTCCCAACTTCTGTTATTAAGTGGGACCAGGATTGCTTTAGCTAAAAGATGTAGTCAAGTCTAGCTCTAGTGACTGTACCTGGTGCCACTTTAAAAGCAGTGAGGGCAGTAAGGGCTCCTACAGCAACTGACCCACCTTCAGAGCAGAACTGAAGATGGGCAGCTCTGCACCAGGGAGCTTTCCCCAGCTGCAGGACACTAATGCAGTCACTTCCCCCTGCACACACCTTAGCTCTGTCAGCCTCCAGCGAGATGCGATAGGCTTCATCCTGCTCTCTTTTCACATTTTCTCTAGCTTCACGTTCATCCTAAAGGAAAAGAAAGAAAACAAACAAAAAAAATCAGCCAACAGTGGGCCAGAATGAGGTATATCTTCATGTTCACCAGCACTTTTTAATGACAATGACTTCAGAATCACCCATCTAACTATTGCCAGGAGAAATAAGTCCAGAGATGCCTCAAGGGCAACTCTGGCTTTACCTGAAGCTGTGATTCAACTGCCACATAAAGGATTGGCATGCCCAAGCCCTGGCCTGAGGGCTGGATCTGGCACCCAGGCTCTCTGCCCTGCCATCCTTATGCAGAGCCCAGGAATGGAGCAGCCTCCTCCACAGCAGCAGCATGGGGAGGGGGTCACTGGCCTGTGGGCTGGTGCAGGGAGGATTTTGCTCCTGCAATTGACAATTTGGATGGTCTTGTAACAGGGAAGGGCAGCCCATGGTTCAGAGGCTCGGGCTAGAATTGAATTTGCTCTCCACTCAAATTGACAGTGGGTAATGTTTTGTCCTGCCAGAGAAAGCCTGCTCCTTCCTTGGTCAAAAAGCCCTCAGTGGGATCCATCCAGGGACACGAGTATTAAACATCATCCAGAGGCCTCAAATCAGTGTCAAATATTATACAAAGATGGAAAAGTAGCAACTCGTGCTCTGAAGTGCCTCAAATGGACAGATGCAGGTGAGCAAGAAATGAGGTTAGCATGCCAGCAAACCTGGCAAAGTATCTTATCAAAGACCACAGCACAAAGAAATAAAGGTTTACTGAAAGCACACGAATGACAAAGCAAGGCATCATCCAGACAGTGAAGGATCAAGAGGTGGATATCCCCAAAAGCTGGAATAACTGCACTGGGGTGATGTCAAATAAAACAAAGTGTACAATCAATAGCTTCATACTCTGCCTCTGGAGCAGAGGCAGCGGCTGCTCCCCTGTGCTTACTCCTCTGACATCTCATAATCCTCCCAGAGCCCTGCAGAGGCTGCACTGGTCCCTCCAAAAATCAATAGGGTTTAGCTGTGAGACTGCTGGTGGGCTCAGCATGGTCCCCTTGCAGTTACCAGTAACCCAGCACCTGCACTGGGGCAATCTGTCCCCTGTGTTTCATGGAAATTAAAGTCTACTACCTCCTGCTTCTTGAAGAATTATGTTAATTTCCCCATTCAGCTGCAACATTTATTCCACATAAAAGGACCATTTTGCAAAGTGATCTATTTTCTCCACAAAAGGTCACTATTTGGCAAAAAAATCAATTCTAAATGGGAAGAGCTCATGCTAACTGTAATTACCACGACATACAAGGATGCCCAAGGTGCTCCTCAAACAAAACTTGAACGTATTAGTGGTTAAATCTCTAAGGTAGCATGCAACCACAAGAGGAAAGGACAAATTGCAGAGAAAGTGATACAACCTCCAGCTGGAAAGTAACAAGATCTGTTCGGAGGAAACTCTTCCTCCTTACAGAAACAGGACCCAAGATTATGCTACAAATCAGCATGTCCTGAATCTAATTCACAGAAGATATAGAAACCATCACCTTGTTCAGCAGAGCTAAGACATGAAGTAATCCTTGCAAAATGCAAAAAGGACAATAACCACTGAAAAACCCATGTCCCTTCCTGACTACTCTGGACATTGGTAAGTTTTACGTGCCGTACTCATGGAAAACTTTCAAAAATTAACTTGAACCTGACAGCAGAAACTACCCTACGTGAATAGCCTGAGAAGAGAGGGTGTTGAAATAATTAAACAGCTCTCATTTTTATGTTATCCAAAAATGTGGAAAGCTCCTGGAATACAGAGAGGTTTTCCCAATTCTTCTTGTAGATGGAATGTAACAGGAAAGGAAAAACTTTTGTGGTATCTATACTGAGACTCTTCACATGGACACCAAAAATTTATCTTAGAATAGTGAGAACCAAAACTACCTTCCCAACTGAGCTCAGTAAAGGAAGATGACATCAGGTAATCTGCAAGAGCAGAAGTCTTGTAAAAAATATTTAGAATTATTTCAGAGAGAACCTATTTAACTTCAGTGTTTTTCAGCTCCACATATCACGCCTAACTTCAAGTACTGAACTTTAAAGGTCACACAAGTCCAGTAATACCTGAAAGAACACTGATAGATCAGAGACAACTACTGCAACTACAGGCTCTTTTCTCCATCAAAGATTGCTGTCAATTAAAAAAGTTACTGTAGTGTAGTTTACAAGAAGAGCCCCAACCACAAACCAGAAAAAACATGGAAAAAACCCAACCCAATACAAACCCTCAAAAAGTAAAATTAAAAGTTTACAAAAATTGTTAAAACTCACTCAAAATAGATACACTAATCAGAGTTACAAGCAATTGATTACTGGGTTTTATTTGACATTTTACAAACTGCCTAGAAGACTCCAGGAAGTTATCACAAGTCACTTGTGGTGAGCACAAGACTCATTTACTTACAGAGAGCTTCACTGAAGAATTTCTGAAATGATTTAAAATACATAATCTGGATGATAACTGCAAAAAATATCAATGCTATAGATTCTCCAACTAGAATTTACACATGAATTCCAGGCACTAAAAAAAAAAAAAAAAAAATTCTTTCCCCCCTATTCACTGCAGTTATCATCATCCTAAAAGTGGATTATGAAAAAGATGTGAGGAATGTGAAGAATGACCATGCATGACTGCCTGGTCCTCAGAAAAATATGTGAGCCACATCTAAAAGTAAATGACTGTGCCACCAAGCTTTACACTGTGTGGAAACAATACTGTTCTTACTGAAACAGACCTTAAAAACAAACCCGGAATCCAGATTTCTTTAGGGAAGCAGCAGATGTAATCCCATTAAATGCTTCTTTGTACCTACTTCTGTGCTTTGTTAATACTGCTCACACTTGACAGGAATCACCTCCTCCACAGAGTTTATGGCAAAATTGTAGTGTTCTTTGGTTCAGAGTTACAATTTGGACAAATTTTAAGCATTAAATAAAGCAGTTCTGCCTTTTGTAATGAAGTTGCTTATTACAGTCATCTCTTCCTCTAAAGAAACCACACAAAATATGAGGACGACTCAAGTTCACCAGAAAGCAACAATAGAAAATTTATAATAGTGATCGGAAAAGCAGAAGAAAATATTTTGCAGAGATTTTTTCACTGCATTAACGAAGAATACGTAAATAAAAAGTCATGCCACTAATAATTAATATAAAAGATGTCATAAATGTTTTCTACCAATAAAATTTGAGGTACCTGACAACTTTCCTATTAGGCCCTAGATAAACTGCAGTATTGACTGAACATCACTAAATGCACCTCCACAACTCTCCTTTACCCCTTCAAAGGGAAAAAGCCACAGATCTCTGTTTTCCCTTGTTGGCAATGAGACAACAAGGGGATATGCATTCAAGGGAAAGCTGATGCTTTAAAAGAAGTTGCTTTTATCCACAGAATATATTCTTCAGCTCTGCATGTTCTTTGCTATTGTGCATATTACAGATGCAAAGTCATAATAAAAACAGTAAACACTTATATTAATGAGATAGTTACAATGGACCAGAGAAAAGCTTCTCCTGAGTAATATCCAGTGCTCCAAGAGTAAGAAAAACTTATAGATAAGGTTAAGAAGAAATTCAGGATAACTCTCTCCAAATCATGATTCCCTAAATCATTTGCTGAAGTTACTCCCAAGGCACCTAATGATAGAAAAAAGGATTCCTGATTGAATTTAGGACACCAATGCCCTCTTTTCCTGCAGATTCTACAAGGAAAAAATACACAATACATTTGGCTTTTTGGATAGGATATTTTGCCGAAAAAGTCAGCACTGGCCCTTGTGGGCTGCTTTTTTTCTATTTATTATTGTCATTTCTGAAGGTAGGATTTAATGATTTAACCCCAGGAATCAGCCTTGCACCTGATTTGTCTCAGGGAGCCGTGTTATACATTATTCCCCACTGCCCTTTGGGACCAGTTTTACTGTGAATTAAAGCCAGACACAACAGCACTTGAGAAGATAACCACGAGCAGAAGACATTTCTCAGAGCACCAGTGAGTAAATGGCTATTACAAGAAAGAAAGGGGGAAAAAAAAGTGTATTTACAAATGCTGAATGCTTATCTGAAAGACAGTTCATTTCACTGAACCACTCCTGAAATTAAAATCTGCAAGTGCTTAAGGCTATTCATGGGAGCGTTAAAGAGAAACACCCCTTTGTCCAAACAAACCAGTGCAAGAAAGGCATTAATTTGACTCACTAAGATGACAGACTTGCACATTGTATAACTTAAACATACGTGATGGGGAATATATGGAAGGAAAGTGTACACAGAGGGGGTTAGGTGTATGAGAACGATGAAGACAAAGCAAATGGATGTTTTAGCAGGGGCAGAACTGCGGGAGGAGACAGGATGGGGCAAGGTGAGGGGGCAGAACAGCCCAGAGGATCCTGCCTGTCCATATCCGAGGCTGAAAGCCCAGTTCTAGATACTGATTTTTGTGCGTTAACTCCAGTGACAAAATAAAAACCTAACCCAAAGCTTTCAAGGAGTCCTGTAGTGCCTTTCTGTGGGAATTGAAACAGACAGTTCTGCCACAATATCTGCCCAGCTGGGTTGAATATTCAGTGACTGGAGCCATTACTATGTATGTTTGATCCTAAAACCCACAGGAACTGAAGATACTTTATCTTCCTTCTTTCTTTCCTCTGTCATTACCTTGCATTTTGCCAAAGTTCTAACTATGCTGTAAACTCTTGAAGGCAGCACTGGGGCCTGCTGGTGTGGTGAAGAGCTCAATGGGAAGCTCATTGGTGGGGCTGCTATCATATTACAAACACAGAATTGGAAAATGTAATCAAATAAATTTTGATTACTGTAGTTTAATTAGTTATAACTAGTAATAATTAGTAAATGTGCTAATTGGATTTTTGAGGGGTTAAATCCCAATCTTCACTACATGTCTTGTCATCACCATAATGCTTTGGAACTTAATGACTTTCATGTATTTATTCTCATAACCTCTTGTTGTGCAAACACTATACACCATGATACACATGACAGTGTTGGGTGGAACACAGATTATCCAAGGTATTCAGATTTCTACTGATTTTAATGTGTGCTTCAGTTCCTAGACAGAAATTGCAGGAGTGTCCTGCAGAGCTGACAGAAGCACTTGGGCCATCCTTTAACTGGAGAACACAGTGGTGGGTAAAGACTGAAAAAAAGCAACTGATCTGAAGGGGAAGAGATTAATGGAACACAGAATAGAAGAAAACACATTATGAATGATGTTCTTGAGCTTCCTTTCTGGCTGTGAGATATATCTTTTGAAGAAAGAGAAAGTGTTGGACACTATGACTGTTAAAATATCATATTTATTACAAAAAAAGGAGGAAGTCCTTTACATTTGACAACAATGAGGCAGAAGAGGAGGAAAAGACATGGTGATGCCAGGCTGCTTACTGCACAGTTATGAAAATAACACTTGGCCAGTAAAGCCCCAAAACTCCGTGGCAGGGAAAAGAGGGTGAATTTATATGGCTGTTTTGGACTTTTGGTTTTCTTTCATGTTTTCTAAATCCCCATCCAGATACTGATTAGGAAGGACCTATATTTTCCTCACACTGCAGCAGTATCTAGAAGAACAGATGTCACCTAAGATCAGAGAGTAAAGATTGTGACTCTGCAGGTCTACATTTTTCTCCAGCTTATCTTCAGTCAGAGTCTGCTTACGACAGGTTTAAAAATTCTTATGTGTCTCTCTTTTACATTAAAGACCAGTGTGTCATGTCAGCAGACATAGTTTAAAGTGAATCGAAGGTTTTAATTGGTATTTGTAAAAATAAGAAAGTCTCTGAAGCAACTGTGGGTATTACAATTCCACCTTGAAGCCTAATCCAGGAGCAGGAGTGCGAGTGTTGCGTAACGACAAAAATAAACACGACGAGAGACCTACTGTTTCTTAAATGTGGACAAGTTGGACCAGCTGTGTAACAGTCAGTGCTTCTACAGTAATAAATGTTGACAGCAAAAATAAAAAGAATGCATTACTGAGACATCATCAAATGAGCCCTGTCATTACATGGAAACTCCACCCTGTATAAGCTTGTCAAAAAGTGTTACTGTAATCCTTTGAGAAGCCTCCTCCTCAGGCAATGGAGAAAAAATGTTCAGCATAGGCCCAGAACAGGTGTGTTGTGCTGCAATGCCAGGATTTAATCACAGATCTCTTCACATTAATCTCACGAAGGAACTAGCTTGGATCTATCTGGGCCCATCACGCCACACTGAGATGACTATTTAACTATGCAATTAAAGCAAGCAAGCTAACAGGGTGTTTAAAAATGGACATTCCAGGGCGTATAATATTTTACAACTATTATTTGTTTTCCTAAGCCCAGCACCAGGCATTGACACTTAAGAGGAACTGATACTCAAGAGGAACTGATACTACGCACTCTTTTCAAAGTCAGTCCCCGAAAAATCTCCGTTCACACCCTGATCAACAGTGGCAGAGGCTGGTTGTCCCTGCTCTGAGATAGTCTCTCCTGCTTACAGGAGAAACTCCTTAGAGATATTTATTTCCTCTTCACAAAAACCCCCAACCCCACTGCCCGAGCAGTAGCTGAAGTGTCAACATTTGTAGTGGGGACTAGAGAAGCAAACATGGTTAGAAAAAGAAAACGTGTCCATTAGGTGCATGAAATCATTAGTGTAGCTGCAGAATACATCTGCATACACAGCATGGAGTTGGACTTCAGCCCCCAGACCTGACTGCACTGGGAACAGTGGGACTGCAGCCTGGCCAACTGGCTGGTGCCACTGAACACACCACTGAACTATCCATTGACCACTTCTTCTCAGAAGTGACACACAAGCACATCAGTGTGAAGCTCATCAGATTTTGCTACCTGTAGCCTGCTAGTATGGCAATTTAAGGAGCAAACTTATAAAAACAGACAGCAGGACACCTCAACTGCTTATCTACAATGGCATGTCAACACTGTGTTCTAAAAGAGGTAGAAAGTTTCCAAAATGGCATCTAGTCAACACAACTGGTAGGCAGCAAACAACAGCTCATGATTGACCCAGAACCTTAGAAAGGCAGGAAAAAGAATGGGACAGCAGATTGATCTCCCTTTAAGAAAGCTTGGGAGGGAAAATGGGTGCCAAAATTACACACCACTGTACCTCAGGACAGGCATATTGGGTTACTCTGAGTACACAGATGCATCTCAATGTTTTTAAGGCATTTCTTTGGAGATAATGTAAGAAAAAGCTTAATCAAATGTGAGATGCAAAACTAAATATTAAATCCAACTGCTAGTTTAATGATGGTATTTCTATAATGTCATGTGCTAAAATAAGGACCAAATTTGCCCCGTTAAAATTTTATGAGGCTAAACCAGTAAATTTTACCAATACATGGATACGAAAGCACAGGATTTAGCTAAACATAGTGTTACCACCACCTCACCAGATGACTCACTTTGCTCAGGTGAGGTAAGTCAGTGATGCTGTTCTAAGCATCCTGCCTATAGCCTCAGTGGATGATCAGTGACAGGGAGATGACTGTAGCTACAGCCAATGACACAGTGAACACTGCACCATTAGCTGGCAGTGGTAATAGTCATCCTGTACCAAAATAACCATCAGGGGGCACTGCAAAACATGCTGTGCCAAACAGCATTATGCAATAGCCGAGTGGGAAGTTTTCATGTGCATGCCAGTTAAAAATCCAAAGCAGCAAAGTTCAGCTGCATAAACTCACTCATTAATGACTTCATGCTGTTATTTACAAATGTTTCCAGTTCTGTTTCTCTCTCACACACAATTCTGTTTACAGCAATGCTATATAGATGGTTTCTCTTTTTAAAACACAAAAGAATTTTCTGCTTATCTTCTTGTGGTTTTATGACGACTTATTGTTGCTATTAAGAAAACAGTAACAGAAACCGGACTCTGTATCCTGTTTGCTATTGTAATATTTGGGAAAACAACTGCACCAACTGTAATAAGATCTTAAAAAAGAAAAGGTGTTGATGTTTGAACACTTGAAGTTGCCAAGTACAAGGCTTACAAGAAAGCTACACCTTATGTAGCAAACCACAGAAAGACTATATTTTGTTTTTCAGGCTAAAGCCCTCTATTGAGTACAGGCTGCTTGTCAAATACTCCTTCTCTGGAATAGTATTTTCATAAAGTCAAGGGGTTTTTTTTGTTTCAAACTTCCTGCTTCACAGAAGAAAGTATCTGAGACCACTTCTTCGGTGTGCTTGTAACAAGCAGAGCTGAGCTGCAAGTAAATATCCTATTTGTGTATAGAACCCAGAGCATCTGGAAACCTACCCCAAAAGCTTATGGTATTTCCCATTAGTTTTCTGAATGTCAAAGTGTGTTAGAAAAAACTCCTGTTGGGTAAGAAATGTCACTGGTGCTCTCAGTGACAGAAAACCAAAAGGGAATGTGAGAGAAGACTACAGAAGACTTGGACAAAGGGAGATTTTAGAGAAATGTGTAAAAATGAGTTTTCCATTATCCTTCCATAGGTAGAGCACTTGGGGTAAGAAGCCAGGAGACAATGATCCCACCATGGGGCCTGGACTGTCACTGTGCTTGGCCATTCAGTGAAAGACCAACAGCAGCTCAGGGCACAGAAGCCATTTCCCAGTTCTACAGGTGACCCCAAGGCTACCAAGTCTTCTTTTGCTTTAAGCTTTGTTTCCCTTACACCCAGTTGCAAACACATTTGGTTTTATTCTCATAGGGCAGGTCAATCACTCTCTCTCCTGCCCCTACCTTGTCCTTAAAACCTGTGTCTCCTACTCAGGACACTGTTCTGGTGTCCTGTTCCTCCCTCTGCTCCAATCCTATCACTCAGTTTCTTCTGCTGTCTCTTATTTGCTCTTATCTCTTTGCCTTTACATGCTTTTCTTTCCCTCAGTTTTCTTCCTTCATAGTTTTTAGTTCTGAAGCTCTCTTGAAACTCAACTGTGACGTGAATTTTACCTTCTTATTAAAGCATTAACAAAACTCTCATACCTGACATATTCCTGTTCAAATGCAATAAAAATTTCAATTATATTGTGCCTTGCATTTTTGTTGTAATCCTCATATTTACATTTGTGTTCAGTATTAACAAAATTAAAGTCAATTTCTTTCCCAATGAATTACAGGTAGCATAAATAAAGAACAAATGAATGACAGATATTGTGCAGATACCATGCTTTCTTCATATTATTATAATCAGTAAATCTTGTACTAATGAGATACAAGATTTAAATGTGAAGAATGTGTTTAGTGAATTATTGTCAATCAATGTCTATGCAACAGGATAAGAATAATCTTGAATGGCAACACACCCATTATTATAAATTCCTAAGTACTTCATTACTTCAAAATGTCACTCTCAATTTATAGAGTAACAGATAAAGATCTCTCAGCTCCATATCTCACTGTGTCTACTCCTGTGTAATGGAAGCCTTATCATCACTCAAACATTCTGAATGGTGGTTCTGTACTGGTGTAGCTCTGGTGAAAGTTGGGTTCAGCCCCCTTTTAAACATATATATTGAAGATATATTAATCTATTCTGGTTTTCTACTAATGAATTAGAGCTGGTAATTGGGAAAAAGTCTGATTGTTGCTTCCTTGCATGAGCACATTAAGCTCTGTAACACCACTACAATGTAAACAGTTCATGACTAGTATTTGGAAAAAGGAAACCAACTGAAAATGACAAGACCAAAAAGGAGGAGTTATTTTGAGAGACCCAAATAAATACACAAATGACACTTATCCTTTTCAATTTCTGAAGACAGAAGAGACACGAAAGCAAATTACACCCAACTCCATTGGCTAAAGAAGCATCTGTTTAATTTATACCCCCAATGATGAGCAGGAGCCAGTAGATATCTGCAGTAACTTTCAACGCTCACCTCATCCTTTATGTCTTCCTGCTGCTGGGCACTGAAGATCTCCATCGCAGCCATCAGCCTCATCATTAGCTCATCCACTGTTGTGTTACCTAGCAACAAAGGAAGATAGCTGAACTTCATTTCATTAAAGTTATTAAACAAAAAAAGAAGACATTTTAGAATTAATCCATAAGAAACAGCCAGCTTAAAAAAAAAAAAAAAAGAGTATAAACAGCAAGTATCTCAGAAGAATGCTTTCAGTGTACCTTTTCACTGAAAATCCAAAATTGTTTTTACACACATGTTGATCATAGGCTAAAATTTCAGGTAGTGCAAATCTGAACAGTTGCTTTTGTGCTAGCATGAAATAAGTCTATTTTTCCTTTTAATCACTGATGTTAAAGAAAAGCAATGGATCTGGGATTCCCCAATGTGAAACTGATTTCACAGTTTTAGAATTCCCAGGTAGAATCAGGGAGACTGAAGCAATTGCATAGTCAGGTATCCAAAGGCAGGATGTTGGCAGCAGTATCCAAGTGGGTTGGTTTTAAAAAATGGAAAAAACCAGAATACAGTGACTGAATAGATGTGTGCACACATTTTACTTGGGTATAACTAGCAGTAAAATTTCAACTACTAGAATATATTCTCTTCAGTGTGCTTACTTCTGATAAAACTTGCAAAGTAATAAGGCAGAAAAGTCATCCACATATATATCAAGGAATAGAACACACATGTAGGAAAACAGATACCTTCTCATGTTTTTCTTCCAGCATGTCTCCAGTCTACAATAAGACTGAAAGATTAGCTTCATTTCTCACCAAGATGCTTTCTTTGGTTTCTCTTCCTAAATTGTAGTCTAGGCTACCCATCAGAGCCACTTGTCATAGTAGTTAAAAGGTCTTTAACCATGAGAAATGGTCAAAACCCGTAACCTTTTAACATCTGCCTCAACAGCTGTTGGACCCTAGCAGAACAATACCAACAAGAGCTGGATTTATAGTGGTGATGCTGGTCAAAATATTAAAAGGAGTAAACTAACCAGAAGCCACAGTACCACTAAAGAAAACAAAACTGTCCCCATAGTTTCCAACCCCAGGAAAAATCACTAAAATCAAAAGCAAACGAAGACAGTCTGTGTTTCAATAAACGCCACCAGGACTTGGGTTTCTATATGGTTGTATCTCTTCTGTAAACATGCCTTCTCACCCAGCCCTGAAAGGCCCTCATTGTTCTCATCTCTAACATTTGCTACCTTCGCAGAAAATGTTATCCCACATGCTACAACACTCAGGACTTCAGAGACTACCATTCATTTGGGGGCATACTGTGAAAAGAGAGCAGTGTCCTGATTCATGGGAAAGTAACAGGCACAACTCATTTGGTTTTTGTTAAAGAAGAAATTGAAGTCTAGCTACAATAGGTGACAGCAGAAAACCTGACAAATCATTAAAACTTAATGAATGCAATGAAATAGTGTGGATTATTTTATAATATAAAAATGAAATGTCTTATGACTGAGCCACTAAGTTGTTAAAATAGCTATGTAAGTCAGTAGCACCACTGACGTCAGTGGGATGACACAGGTGCTGAACTCTACTGCAGAGTTAGAAACCCAAGAAAATCTATTTGTAAGACTATCTGTATGAAATAAGTTTTATAAGTGACAGATACACCATTTGTGCATTTTGCACTGAGCAGACACAATCTGTGCAAAAATTAACCATTTTGCTCACAGGAAGGAGCACTGCAGATTCCTGAAGAGAATTATTAATCCCAGATGCAGAAAGAAACAGTAGTGCTGCATTTCCTGAGGCTGAATTTCCTCAGGAAAACAAGGAGATTACAATAAAGATTGCTAGATATAAGCAATAAATAAATGAGGACACAGTGTCATGAAGGCAACTTGTGGAGGAAGCAGAAGAAATAAGAGGCAACCATTCTTTGACGTGTTCTAGTTCGAAGAGTTACCGAGAACCACAGTCAAAGGGCAGCACTCCACATCTAAGTCATCTGGCTGCCAGTGAAATCAGAGGAATGGTTATGCCAGAAAGAACTGCTCATGTTAGCCACAAAGCTTCATTTATGTGAGATTGTATTAATGACTTCAATCCTGATCTGATCTGGGGTCTCAGTGCTGCAGGCAGGTCTATAAAAGCAACTCATGCCCATGTATTAGCCCACTACATGCAACAGGAGCCCATGTATCAACAAGGAACCACAGACAAAGAGCTAAATGCATTCTGGCACTATGCAAAAAGCACAGTCAAAATATTTTGGAAACCAGGGATGTATCTGGATATAAATTTGGAAAACTAAGTGTAGCTCCTAATAAAATTTGGCTTCCACTTTAAAAAAATTAAAAAACTTGAACTATTATTCTACTATAGTCACAGCAGCTTCCATCTCTAACTCCAGGCTAATTAATACATTTATAAGCAGTAGATATTTATATCCAGGCAACTGAAAGTGTCTTTTGTGCAACAAATTCATATCCGGAACATCTTAAAAGAGAAACAGTTAGCAGTGATCTCTATAAGAGTTTCAACACTCACATAAGAAATAATTTAATATAAAGTGAGAAATGTACCTTGTATTACATTCAAGACTTCATTAGACGATCGTTTTCCCATAATGATAAGAAAAAGTGGAAACTGGTCTGTCTTCTGAGTTCGAATTGTTTGGGCTACCACACTCCCGAAGTGTCTAGTGCACATCGTCAGAAACCTTGTGGGGAAAAAAATGGGTAACATTGTAGAAGTGCTTTTGAAGTTAAGTTTTAAAAAATAATTATGCTAAATTCAGCACTTTAACTGAGTGTTACCTGCTGTTTAACACTGAGGCTTCTGCATTCAATTCTAGAGCTCCTGATCTCCTTTTATGACTACATTACGACAATATTCACAAACATGATAGGCCCAGATTGTCTCAATTAAAACAATTAACAACTGCTTGAGACAGTGATTTATTTGCTGGAGAATTCCATTTCCTGTTACACCACTCTGCAGGCAATAATTCACAACTACCTCCCAAAATAATCATGCTGAATCAATCGCTAAAAACGTCTACACAGAAATTAAGGAGAGCCACAATCCAATAAACATGGTGAAGTATAAAAATAGTACATTTCATACAAAAGTATAATTTAATACTGAAAGATCATGAAATTGGTTTTATCAGTCACAGAATTAAAACACGGTACTTCAGAATTGTATTTTCTTTTGTACTGGTGCCCTGCCAGTGACATACTTAGCAGTGTGGTCTAAAAAACAATAATTCTAAGCTTTTGACCAAAAAAAGCTCTTGGATATTAGCATACAGAAGTCTAACATTAGTATTCTTAACACGATCTTGAATAAATGAAAAAACTGATAAAGCTTTTCTCTTCCATTAAAGGACTGTTTGAAATTAGCATTTCTTTCAAGAGAAAAGGGTAGCTTATGATATGTTTTCAGATCTGATGGTAAAAAGTAAATGTCATAATAATAATGAATTATGAAAGACCAAATGCAAATATAGAATGCTTTAATAAGATCCAATTTAATAAAGTCTGTAAAAATAATGGACTTTTAATAACACGGGTCACAAAAGGCAAAACAGTGGAAATTCTGAGGACTAGCCACTGGTACAGGCTTATTAATTCTTAATTATGTTCATGAAAGGCAACTTAAATCGTGTGTTTTCTTATGCCTTATGATAATATTTTAGGTAACAACTACTCTGAAATGTATGCTCTAACTGAAGAGCAAAGTCCTGTTGTCACATGCATTAGAAGCCAAATCTATTTGAAAAGACAAACTGCATTAAAATGTCAAGTGCTCCAAGTAATTTCTTCTCAAAGACACTGAAAAGATTCAAAATTGCAATTTTTTTTAATCACTGTATCTCTTGTATCTAATAAAATGGCTAAGAATTGATAAGCCTGATGAGTACAGCATTGGGCTTATTCAAGGCAGCTGAAGTATTAAAAAACTCTTCTCAGCGACAATTTGTCCTGTAGCTATGACTGTTGTTGGATGGAAGGCAATGACTGGGGTAGTGAGGACTTTGGAGCCATAAATGTTACTCCTTGATTCTCTATCTCTTGCAATTCAGAAAGATCACACACAAGGACGATGTCAAAAAAGCCAAACTGACTCTTCTACATCAGAATCAGCTACATAGAGACATACCATATAGGAAGGATGAAATGAAGTGTCTATGAAGTCTGGACATATAAATTCTCAAGCTAAATAATGGTTTTCAATGTTTTCTTTTCAAGGTGAGAATAGGTAAGTGAAATATTGGCCTCACAAAAGTCAATGGTGACCTTGCACAGCAAAATGACTTACGTGAGTTTGAGGCTTCACCCCTGGAAGTGATAAAGCCAATGGACAATTGAACCGAGTTCCTGAGACTTGTATATTAAAACTGTTTAACAACTTCAACACATCATGGGGGGAAAGCACTCAAATTTCATGGAAAAACAAAATATTTAACTGGAGGTGAAAAATTGCTGTAGAGAATAATGCTAGAAGGTGCAAAACTAGAGACTATTACAATACTAGTTCTAGTAGTCTAAGGTGTTGGTTTAGCAATTTCTTTTAAATCAGTTCTGTATTTAGTCAACCCATAACTCACTCCCAAAACATGCTCTTATAGCTATGGGTTTTGTACGTGAAGAATTCTGAAGGAAGTAGGTACTTCAGTACATTGAAAGATTTTCCAAATAGCATTTTTTCCAGGAGATGAATTTTTATATGCAGGATTTCTGGCTGACTCCATAAAATCTAACAGGTTATGCCACCTTGGGGTCCTCTATATTCCAGGCCGGGAACAGGCTTCAATGCCTTAGCTTCAGAAGGTGACATGCTGTGCCAAGCTGCTGTAAGGGCACACATACTTTCCTGGTTCAGTAACTGCAGAACAGATGTCAGATGCCAACATCTCCCCTTGTGTTTTTTCTCTTGGTGCCACTTCCTACAGCCACGGGTGCCATCCACCCTGCTCTTGCAAATCACCTCCTTTCCTCTACTGCTGTCACAATCTGCTCGGCTCACTCACGTGCCAGGAACAAGAGCAGCTCATGCCAATTCTGGTGTGAATGCCACAGATTAGCCACTGCTGCCATCAGGCAGCCTTTGTCGCTCTTGAGGGAGGAATGAGAAACAACTTTTCTTCCCAGCACTTCCAACATTGAATAATGAATGCCCAGATCACAGCACGAGGAGCTGTGATGAGGCTGTTTGTGAGGGATGAATGACACCAACACGTACCTTCAGAGCAGAGTGAATACATGAGAACGTTTTCTCACTAACACGACCTTCAAAATAGATCCTGCCCTTTGGAACCATGTAAGACTTCTATCTGTTGAACTAAAATGTTGTAAAGCCAACAAAAACGTGGAGGTAGTGGAACAATGCAACACTAAATAGAGAGACAGCAGCAGCAACATCTAACGCCTACACCATACAACTCCTGTTCAACAGTGATCACTCACACACGCACGTGCTCTTTGGCAGGTCACTAGCAATTAGTCTTAACACACCTCTTCATTTCACTAGATGGGTAGGAAATGAATTTTCATTCATGATTCCCATTCAGTTTTTCTCATGCCTTTTAATAGACTTCACAGGTCCTTAACTAATGTTGTGGTTTTTTCCTTTTCTGCCTTTACTGATTCTGTATTTGTAGACCTTTTTACTTTCTTTCACATTCATAATGAGAAAACAACATCTCCTCTGTGCTAATATCTACTGTTAGATGTATGTGAGTAGGACCAAACAACTTGGTGCAATAACCTGTATGCTACTCTGTACATCACTAACAAGGATTGTCTTGCTTTCATCTAAACAGAAGTGTGCCAGATCTTTCAGTGGCATCTCCAGAGCTGCCAAGAGAACTGCCTGTGGAGTCCATCAAAGAGCCAGATGTCCCCCCAGGGAAAACTGTTTTCCACAACACACTGGAGTACTGTGATCTCCAACCAACAGTGGAAATAGAGGAATGTTGCCAGTAAGGGAGGGCAGATGGCACCCTACTAGTCATTTTATTTTTAAATTACACAAACGTTCAAGGAGCGGGAAGAATGAGGAAGGCAAAAAGTCATTTTATGAAGGAAAAAGCCATTTAAAAAATAATCTCAAGAGCTATAAGAACAAAGTTCATCACATAAAGTAACAATTCTGGCAGACAGCATCATTTCTTTGCATCTTTCATGACTTGCTGGCAATGAAAGCAGCAGTAAAAGCTGCAGAATAAACATGGGCACTGACCATGGATTGACAAACACAGAAACAAAACCTAAAAAGAATTACAAACTTATGTGTTCTAAATGTAGATTGAACAGGTATCAATTCTTAGACAGTTCACTCTCTAAATATCCATTTAATATTTCAATTTAAACAATACAGTAAGCTATGAGCATCTCTGGTGCCCAGTCCCTGAAAGAGGCACAAGGCAGAGCGGTT